ATGGCTGGCTGGGGAATTCTGGGAGTTGAAGTCCACACCTCTTAAAGAAGCCAAGGTTGAAAAACACCAGTGTGGATGATCCTATATTTGCTACCTAACTGCTGATACGGGAATGTTTCCAAAGGTTCTTGGGGAGCTGAGCAAGACAGCATCTTGCCTCTCGCTGCCCTAAAATGTTGGGGACACGTAGCAAAATAAAACGTCCACGTGCCCCGACGTTCTCTGCCAGCCGGAGGATCTGTAATCTCTTCCCATTTGGGGTTTTCTTTTTTAAAAAGAAGAAAAAGATGGACATTCTTAAAAGCAACAGGGGTCGCATCAGCAGTTCAGATTTTGGATGCCACTTCTGGCCGTGCTCGGTGGCCCGCCTCGCAGGGCTGTGATTCAGGTGAGAGGAAGAGCAAAGGGCCTGGGTATTTGCAGCATTATAAGGGGTCTTCCCCCCTTTGCAAGCAAGGCCTCCATTAGCTCCCTGTTGGGGCCTTCTGTGGGCATAGGACTGCAACTTCATTGCTGGCTAAGGATGATGGGAATTGTAGTGATGCACAGAATTCTGGGAATTTCCATCCCAGTGCACCCAGAAGCCCCCCCTTCCGCATGCCTTCTTCCCAGCTGGAAGCCATCGCCCGGCTTTCTGCAACCTTAGCCCCCATCACCCTTGCCGGCTGGGGACCATGGGAGTTGGAGTGGGAGCCCCACAGGGACAAACTGGGCGCTGCAGAGGCCCCTCTTGGCTAGGCATGCCGCAAGGGCAGCGCCCACCAAAGCCGGCGGCGCCGTGCGCGGGACTACAAAGCCCAACACCCCCAGCGGCTACAATCCCCATAACCGCTGGGCGGCTGGAAAAATTCTCCAAAGAGGAAAGACCAGAAAAATCACCAGCGGCCCTCTTTCGTTGATTTCTCCCCCGACAAAACTTTTTCTTTTCCTTTTTTTTTAACAAATTAACATTTTGCCAACTTTGAGCGTCCCGCGCAGCCGGCGGGGAAGAAGCCAGGCAAGTTCCCCCTCCCTCCCCGAGCCGCGTGGTCCAGCCCGTTATATATATATGTTAATACACACACACACACATATGTGTGTGTGTGTGTGACGTTATAGTTATCAGCGTGTAAGATTTGTTATATATATATGTTAATACACACACACACACATATGTGTGTGTGTGTGTGACGTTATAGTTATCAGCGTGTAAGATTTGTTATATATATATGTTAATACACACACACACACATATGTGTGTGTGTGTGTGACGTTATAGTTATCAGCGTGTAAGATTTGTTATATATATATGTTAATACACACACACACACATATGTGTGTGTGTGTGTGACGTTATAGTTATCAGCGTGTAAGATTTGTTATATATATATGTTAATACACACACACACACATATGTGTGTGTGTGTGTGACGTTATAGTTATCAGCGTGTAAGATTTGTTATATATATATGTTAATACACACACACACACATATGTGTGTGTGTGTGTGACGTTATAGTTATCAGCGTGTAAGATTTGTTATATATATATGTTAATACACACACACACACATATGTGTGTGTGTGTGTGACGTTATAGTTATCAGCGTGTAAGATTTGTTATATATATATGTTAATACACACACACACACATATGTGTGTGTGTGTGTGACGTTATAGTTATCAGCGTGTAAGATTTGTGACTTGGGGTGGGGGAGAGGACATTAATTTTAATTAATATGGCTGTTAAGATTCTTAATCCAGGCTGTTTTGTTTGGATCGCATCTTTGGAGAAAAAAAACACCAAAAATGTGCTTCTCTTCCTCTTTGCTTCCCATCATGAATTGAGAGAAGTTGCTTCTAGTTGTCAAAAGATGGCCTACAACATTTTTGCTAGGATTAGATAGAGCAAGCGTGGATGGGGTTTGCAACTCCAGATTCCTAACACCGGGCTTCCTTGGGCAAATCGTGAATGTGATAAGCAAACTCACACTAGCTTGACAGAACTCGGGTCTCGTGACTAGGTATAACCTGCTTTAAACTGCTTTCTTTTCTAGACCCGAGTTAAGCCTCCACCATGTTCGGCTCCTCCCGAGGTGGTGTGAGGGGAGGACAGGACCAGTTCAACTGGGAAGATGTGAAGACGGATAAACAACGTGAAAACTACCTTGGTACGACAGTGGTCTTTCTGATCTTTGGACTGTTTAATCAGCTCCAACGGGAGCCAAGTGTTGTAGTGACTCCAGATTGGTTTAAATGTGAGAACTGCTGGGTCCAAATGTGTCCAGCTGCAAGTTCACAGCTGGCTAAGCTAGACTGAAACCGCTAAGCAGTTTGTGATTCCCTATGTTGTCGGAACTGTCTTCGCATGTTGTAGGAACTAGGCCCATGGTGTGCTATTTAGGCACAGCACGGATAGGAACAGAGGAACTGCTGTTTTATTAACCCAACTTTGGCAGATCTAGGAACCTAAAGGGTCCGATCTCATTAGGACTTGGATGGGACACCATCGGAGAAGCCCAGGGTTGCAAGCTGATTAGGCGGTCGAGAGAACAGCTCATGAAAAACCACTTCCGTGTGGTTTTGAAGAAAGCTTCATGGGCACCAAGATTTGGAACGCTAAGCAGGGTCAGCTGTGGTTAGACCTTGGATGGGGGCTGTCTGAGAAGCCAAGGCTAGAGACTAAAGTAGGAAACCGGAAAAGCCTTCACAAGAAGGCAGCGCCAATGACATGGAAGTATGTCAAGAAAACTGCTTGGATGTGTCCAAGGGGTCACCAAAAGAAGCACATCAGTGGAGGCAACTTTATTTTAACCTGGATTTTGGATTCAGTAGGTTGTATGAAGCCAGTCATTGAATAATTGCCCCTCAGCACCTCCTATTCTCTTCCCTCCAGACGTGCAATCTAGAAATAAGAGCGTTCCAGCCCATAGCTGGAAACGTTGGAGACAATGGTTTTCTAGGGACGTGAGGCACAGATGTTCCCCAGCTCTGCTGTCCCAAACCCTCTCAATTAGAGATGCTTTCGATCCTCCCGTGATATCGTTACCTTACGTGCTGTGACGTTGTGAGTCTTTCTTCCATTTGTCTTGCAGGGAACTCCTTGATGGCCCCGGTGGGCCGTTGGCAGAAGGGGAAGGACCTTACGTGGTACGCCAAGGGGAAAAAAGGCGACGCACCTTTGTCTCGGGAGGAGGAGCTGACTGCCGTCCGGCGGGCAGAAGAGGAGGCCATGATGGCAGCCCTGTAAGTTTCAGACCCAACCATCTGGTGATCCTTGGCACCTTGTGAAGCGAAATGAAATAGCACGGGTCTCCAAGTAAACCTCAGAAGAGGGCTTTTCAGCTGCAGGGAGATGAGAATTTACAAGTGGATGGGTGGGGATGAAGAACAGCAAACCTTCAGTGACGTTTCTCTGGAAGGAAGAAATGACACCAGCAAAGAACATCACAAGAGCTATTAAGAAAATCAGGGACTCTTTGCTTCTCTTCAGTTTTTCCTGCAGCCTTCTGGTTCAGGGAGCTGCTTTCAGGGAGGCCAAGAAAAAATTCCCAAGCTGGAAAAAAGATGTTGAGTTCTGGAATTTTGAGAGTTAACTCAGTAGAGACAGATGGCTGTGAGAAGTCTAAGATGGAGTTGGCAGAGTTGGCATCTTAGTGATTGCCACCTACAGGATTTCCCTTTTATCTGTGTTGTTTCCGAACAGTATTTTACTTTACATTCATTGTTCTAGCCTAAGAAGAATCCAGGAGACACCTTACAATTGCAGCCTATAGGGGAAAACATTGTACTTGCGGAGCCAAGTAAAACCATGTTGCTCTCTAGATTCCTGTGGTTTTTTTGAAGACGAGTAATTAAGCTGTGGGTCTGTGTATCTGCACTGACTGAGCTGTGACTCATCCTCTTTTGGCGTGCAGGCCCTGGAAGTGATTTACAAATGAATGTGGCTCTTGGATTGAAAAAAGTTTGCTTTCTTAGGCAGGCCTTCCCAATCTGATATCATCTAGATGTCACGGTGCAAACTCCCATAGTCCCCAGCTACCCTGGTTAATAAAGTCTGGGACATCTGGGGACAAACCCAGTTTTAGTTTCCCACTGAGATAGGAATGAGTGTAGAAGGAAAGGCACCTTGTTTCTGATGTCCTGATATGCTCTAGAGGCACTCTGAGCACCCTCTGCTTCTCCAGCTCCAGAAGTTGGCCAAGGGCTCTTCTGTCCTTGTCCGAAGTGTTGCAAATTGCTTCCACTTCACAGGGTGATTGAGCTGACAATCTTTCAGTGTCCAAGTTTGGGAGAAATCTTCTGCTAATCAGGTACTCACTATGACAAGCAAATTTGTGTCAACAACTGGAATAAGTCTAAGAACAGGGATGGAATCTGGAACCCAATGAGAAGCTTTGGCATACAGAGGGGTGGGGCCATTGTGACATCCTGATGCAAACCCCACAACTTTTCTGTTTGTGTGGTGATGCCCATTTTATCATTTTCACATTGTCGGCTGACCTTCTGTAGCCAAACATCCTGGTTCACTTCTGCTCAACTCTGTTTTGTGTTGTGTTCTTTTACAGAGGTTATAAGAATGTGAAAAAGCAGCCAACAGGACTGAGTAAAGAGGTATTTTATATAT